ATCCCTACTTCAGCTCCTGCAGCCACGATAAGCAGCACATGTCACTTCAGTGTGGATAGGGCGAGGAGTATTGAGGGTTGGAGGGTTGCAGTGACCCTGGAACGTTTCAGCGGCCTTCCCGCTGTCCCGCCCAGGCTGGGATAGAAGGCAGAGTTGAGTTGCCATAGCGACGGCACATTCCACATATCTTCTGAGGGGGGAGTTTTCGTTGGAGCCTTGCAGGCTCAAGGGCGCCAGATTCTGATTAGAAAATGTTTTGGGGCCAGTCAGAGATAATTTTCTCTCTGTCTTACAGTTTGTTGGTCCTCAACCTCTCGAAATCTCAATAATGGACATTAAACTATCCCAATCCGTGCTGATTCGTCCACTCTCTCCTTGATGGCATCCATCTTCTGTGCCAATGAATGAATCTCGGCCAAAGTCCCAAGCTTACGATTCATCTCGACAATTATTTGAGTCTGTGAATTCACAGCGCGGTGCAAACCATCTCTGAGCTCCGGGATCAGGCCAATATTCCTCGACAGCTCGTTAATTTTCCAGTAAGCCACGTAGCCTCCAATGCTGATCAGCAGGAAACCCGACACCAACACTTTCATGTCTGAATCTGGATCAAACTAGAATAAAATTAAATTAATCTGGACTTTTTTCAAAGGCTTTTTGCATGTTGTCCTGCGTTGAGGTTAATAGACACATTATGAAACATTAATCCAGGTTTTTTTTTTGCATGTTTGATTTAAGATGTTAAACTTTCTCAATTGAGTTTCCCCGACTTCGGCCAAGATGAGTGATAAAGAAAGAATAAACCCAGCTTCCACAGAATTAAAGCCACCTGAACAGCCCTTTTACCATAGATGCTCCCTTATTTGGTGTGATTGTGTTAACCTTTCAGCAGGATGCCTCCCCCGTGGAGTTTATGCACCTGCTCAGGTGTCATTTGATAGGAGGTGTAGCCTTTCAGCTGTGCACGAGTATGGGAGAACTACAATAAACGGTTTCATCAAGGGTTAAAGTCAGTCACAAAGTGTTTTTCATTGCAACAGTTGGACCACCCACTTTGTCATCTTGCTGCTAGAAATTGCTTTAAATTTAATTTTCCTTCTGGATATAATCGGTTGTTTGACACCCACTCATTCATGATGGCTGGTTAAGCTGTAGAGGATGCCAAAAGCCTCGAGTCCCAGCAGATATTCCTGAGTCGCTCAGACTCGACTGCTTTGTGACGACTTACAAGATTCCTCGAGAGTAAAAGTATATTCAGATTTAATCCAGTAAAATCTTCTCCACCCTTAAACAACTCCTGGCCTCAACTCGACAACTCTACGAGGCGTGTTTCCGTTACATGACCCAGAACCAGAACTCTTGATGCTTTTTTCTGCCCTGGTTGGTTTGCAAAGCAGAATCAATCTCCTTGTCTAAAGAGGTCAATCTAAAATATGCCTATGCTGCCCTCTGATGGTGAGTTCCAGGCACTGTTGTTTTAGTTGGTTTGTGTAGTTATGACATTGTTCACATCACCACTTCCTTTAAGGAGACATTTAGCAACTTTTTCACATTTTAAATATTTTTTCTTGACCCATTATGCCACCGCCGGTCCGCTCTGTTGGGCTTAGAGAAAAATTGAGCTGACATACCTGGCACTGCAGTCCAATTCCAGCATTTGTCCTCCATGTTTAAGATCGTGAACACAGCTGATTTGTTTAATTTAGTGAAGAATCACTCCTGTGTCACAACCTGTCCTGTTTCCCCATTCTTTTCAGTCATGTGTCTTTCCTAATTGCTCCCACCTGCCTCTCGTCTCCCAATCGCTCTAGATGTCAGCTCCTTGTGAATTTAAACCCTCCCAGTTCTGTGTTCCTTGTCTGTTCGTTGTTTCATTGTCAGCATGCTTTTCATTAAATCTCTTAAAACGTCCTCACCAGCCTGCCTGTTTAATTCACCTGTGTTTGGATCCTCACCTCAGCCACTCAAACCAACAGCACTCCTGACGTCCTGTAGACATTAATGAAGGCTGGGGAGACATTTCAGCTGTCAGATTAAGGTGTTAAAAAGACGATAGGAGAGGTTTTGCTTTTGGTTCTACTAAACAGACACTAGGGGTGTTAAAAGAAAGCAAGAACTGCACAGTTTTACTAACTGCATACTTTAAACCCTAAACATACAAAGTTTTTAAAACTGAACCATTTATTGGCTAATGTATAACTAATATTAAAGTATTTTTAATCCTGTAATTCTACACAAAAATAGCAGTAATAAAAGTTTAAAAACTATGGGCCCATTGCCACCAAGGGGCAGCAAACGTGTACAAGATGGGATGACAGGTTTCTGATGAAGGTACTAATCCTGATGCTCCATCTGGAGGTTTTGGTTTGATGAGAATTAGTAACAACTGTCTACAAGAGGTTAATGCCACATTTCTTATGTTAAAGGCCAAATCTCACTATCAATGGACCAAAATAACAAGAAACAACAAGTCACAAAAATCTAAATAAGCTTTCTGGTGTTTAAAACTATTTTGGAGATAACAACTGTACGTATAATTCCCTTTTCAGTAAGATGCTAAGAGTTTGGATCGGATGAAGCCCTGCTCAGTGGTGCTGGCTGAAGTGAGCAGTCAGTAATAGCTGCGGGTTGCGGTGGAGTTCCTCCTCCAGCAGATGACACCATCAGCTAACTTTTCCCACCTGGTTTGGGCAGCCGAGGATCACTTTTCTTCACATAACCGGACAATTATTGTTTCAGCTTGTTGAATAACAATAGAAGAAGAAACGATCTTTTCAATAGCGCCTCTCAAGATAAAAAACAAGAGACGCTTCACAAAAACAAAACATTTAAAATATAAATAAGAACTTAGAAAATGATTAAAAATATGTTAAAAAATAAGCTCAAATAGACAATTGTGATTAAAAATGTAGAGAGACCTGTAAGTCGGACCTGTTCCCAGTGAGGGTTGGACTCCGCCAGGGCTGCCCTTTCGCCTGCAGTGATGCGGACGCTGAGCCGATCTGTCATGGTGAAGAGGGAGCTGAGCCAGAAAGCCAGGCTCTCGATTTACCGGTCGATCTACGTCCCAATCCTCATCTATGGTCATGAGCTTTGGGTAATGACCGAAAGAACGAGATCGCGGATACAAGTGGCCGAAATGAGTTTCCTCCGTAGGGTGGCCGGGCTCAGCCTTAGAGATAGGGTGAGGAGCTCGGACATTCGGGAGGGACTCGGAGTAGAACCGCTGCTCCTCCGGATCGAAAGGAGTCAGTTGAGGTGGTTTGGCCATCTGGTCTGGATGCCTCCTGGACGCCTCCCTGGGGAGGTGTTTCGGGCATGTCCTACCAGCAGGAGGCCCCCGGGTCGACCCAAGACACGTTGGAGAGGTTACATCTCCAATCTGGTCCGGGAACGCCTTGGGGTCCTGCCGGAGGAACTGGTGGAGAAGGCCGGGGAGAGGACGGTCTGGAGCTCCCTAGTTGGGATGCTGCCCCCGCGACCCGGACCCGGATAAGCGGAGGAAGACGACGACGAGAAAGAGAGAGAGAGTGAATAGGAGAGCGGGAAAGATGGAAATCAGTGGATCATGAGGAAGGTGGAATAGGTAGGGAGAGCAGAATAATTAGAGTGGCGAAGAAGGTCACACCAAAGCCAGGTGAGTTTTCAGCTGCTTTTTGAAGGAGTCCACTGATCTCAGGCTCAGGGGGAGAGAGTTCCAGAGTCTGGGGGGCCACAGCAGCAGATGATCTGTCACCTTTGGTCTTCAGCCTGGTGCTGCACAACCAGTAGGCTTTGGTCACTGGACCTCAGAGACCTGCTAGGGGTGTAGGGTGGGATAGACAGCAACAGCGTATAAGCTTGACTCTCCCATATTCCAGGTAGAATTGACAAAGCTCCTCGGCTGAGAAGCCAAACGTCTCCAAGAAACCAAAGAAGTCCAGTTGCCTTCATCTTTGGGAATACCATGACCTGGAAGACTGAGAACCTTCATCAGCATCTATGATTCACAATAGTTTTACTTTTCAAATTGTTCCCATTTCTTGAACATGAGAAACATTTTTGACTTTTCAGAAGCCATTAAAGGTCAACTTTACACATGACTTTAATACATTTGCAGTGGTCTCTTGTAGGAACGAAAGCCTTGGAAGTTGTTTTCTAGGGAATAAAAGCTCCGGTGCACCTGTTTGAGGGTGTAGAAGTGAGCTAGATTCAGACGGCAGGATTTGGAGTCTCATTTCCTGATATGAGGACATCTTGCTTCTGATTGTCTAAGAGCAAAGCCACTCTACCACTGACTCTGTTTGCTCTGCAATGCTGATGTTTTATCTCCACTAATAACACAAGCCTGGAGGAGCTTTGCTGTTTGGTGAAGTTGCTAATTCGGTTAGTTTCTACTAGCAGAGACATTCTCTGCTGCTTCCTGGATGCTAAACCAACAACAGCCTTCCTCGTTGTGAGTCCAGATGGGTGAGTTCATGAACGATAAGTGACAGTGTGATGTAGATCCGTCAGGATTTTCTAATCCTAGAGTTTCACCGTCTGTTTTGTATCAGAAGCTAATGCAGGAGACTATTTTCACATGTTTCTTGTAATTTCTCATTGTGTCTTATTGTATATTTATACAGAATAAAACTTAAGATAAACCCAAATAATAAAAGTTGCAACCAAAAATTCTTGAATTTGGCAAATGAGCAAAAAAATTAAAAAATGTATAAATATATAAAAACTGCATAAATGGTGAATGAGGGACAACCTTGAACATTTAGCCTGAAGGGAAAAGATAAGCTATCTTTCATTTCAAGGCAGCATTTTATGTTTTTATTCAGTTTATTTCATTTTATTTGTAACCAAAATCGAATTAATGTGTTTTACAGGAAGAGTCGAGTCATTTTGATACGTTTTCATTAAGTTTTTCATTTCTTTTATGAACCTGACCAAAACATCTCCTGTAACAAAAAGCATTTTAACTTCCTCTGACTTTATTCTTTGAATGACCCAAATAAAGAAATCCAAATGAATTTAGTCGTTCAGTAAACACGTTTTTATTCAGGTTGGTAGCAAAAACAGCACCTCAGGACAACAGTGTGACACAGACAGCCATCTACGGGCTCCGACATTTTCAGTGACAGGAAACGCTCTGGGAAGACATGCACTAGCTACTGGAGCAGGAAATTTAAAGACAACAACACTGGAGCTGTTTCAGTACATTCACATTTCTTTTTACACGGTCACTGTCCTTTCAATGCAACACAACGACCCTTCATGTATGTTTTAACAGTTGCATAGACTTCATAAACAACTTCTTTTGTTGTTTTCTGCTTGCAGTTTGCTTAGTTTTAAACTAATTCTGTTGCAAAACTACATTTATTTTAGTATAAACAGACATCAGACATACAGAATGAGTTCTTTGGTCCCTTTCAGATCTTTGGTAGTGTCAGGATAATTTGTTGCTTCATGACAAACATGCTTGTGCTCTTTCAGAGAGTGGATGATGGGAAGCATTTTACTTGTTTATTACGACGTTTTAGATGTGTGAGCTGTGAGAACAAGGACTACCAGAGAGACGGAGGACAGGTAGCTGCACCTCTAAACTAAGCAGCTCAATCCTCGATGATGTCGGAGGACTCGGACACCACTCGGCCATCCTTGGTCTCGATCATTTTAATGACGACGTTCTTCTTGGTCTGGGTGGTGGTGTTGTAGCCCCCGGCGCTGCCGCTGCTGCTACTGAAGCCGCCGCTGCTGTAACCGCCGCCGTAACCGCCCAAGCCGCTGCCGTAACCGCTGCCGTATCCGCTGGAGTAGCCGCTGGAGTAGCTGCTCTTCAGACTGTCGGCGGGGAACCCACTGTAACTTGCTGTTTGGGAAGATTGGATCGCTGTTAGGGAATTTAACGGAGCAAAAACAGCCACAGCCTCCATGTTCGAGTCAAGGCGACTTACTGCTCTGTTGGGAGATGTTGATAGCCTTGATGCCGTTCGCCAGCCTGTCCTCCTCTCCCTCCAGCAGCTTCCTGTAGGTGGCGATCTCGATGTCGAGCGCCAGCTTGACGTTCATCAGGTCCTGGTATTCCCTGATCTGTCTGGCCATGTCCTGCTTGGCTCTCTGCAGGGCGTCTTCCAGGTCCTTGATGCGGGCCTTGGCGTCCTTCACTGCCATCTCGCCGCGCTCCTCAGCCTCAGCAATCTGGGCCTCCAGGTTTCCACGCTAGAAAAGGGTTTCAAAAATGAGACTCAGTCCACTCTAATGGTGTTGGCAGTAAAATGTATTGTTTATCCCTGTAATTCCAAATGTATCCATGGTTTATTTCTGGAATCTCTTCCGTTTTAACAGGATTAGTACATTCCTCAAACATCTTATTTTATCAAAGCCTTTGCAAGGATTCTGCCCTGTGGTGGATTATCCAAGTACTACATGTGGGAATTTTAGCATTATTATTACATTATATCTTTCCATGTATTATTCTACTGTCATTATTACCGAACGGACGGCCCATACCTGTCCTTTGACGGCATCGATCTCTGATGTGAGTCTCTGGATCATACGGTTGAGGTCTGCGATTTCTGTTCTGGTTGATCTCAGGTCATCGCCGTATCTGCTGGCGGACGTCTGCATCTCTTCATACTAAATGAGCATCAGAAAAAGAAGGTATTACTGTTTGGTTCGGTTTAGTGCAGCGAATCATTTCGATTTGGGTCCATTACCTTGGTCTTGTACCACGTCTCAGCCTCAGCACGGGTGCGGTTGGCGATGTCCTCGTACTGCGCCTTGACTTCAGCCACAATGGAGTCCATGTCCAGGTTGCGGCTGTTGTCCATTTCCACAATGACCGAAGTGTCCTTGATCTGTCCCTGGAGCTCACGCAGTTCCTGAGGAAATTCAAACAAGAGTTACGGAGGGAGGGAAAAAAACGAGATCTAATCATCTTCACCTCTTGAGGAAACACGACCGGCAAGTGCGTTTACCAAGATGGTGCAAGAATCAGGTCGGGATGTGCAACAAATGTTACAAAAACCAAAACATGAATCCATGAAAGGAGGAGCCCGCTTCAAAACAATAACACAAGCATTACAGGAATGCCGCATAAATCGCAGATGATCGTACCTCCTCGTAGATCGATCTGAGGAAGTTGATCTCGTCTGTCAGGCTCTCCAGCTTGGCCTCCAGCTCAACCTTATTCATGTAGGCCTCATCCACATCCTGGAAGAAATTTGTGTTAGCTCAGCGTGTCTAAAATAAACAAGGTTGTAAAATGCTGATGAGGATCGGTCACCTTCTTGATGAGAACAAAGTCGTTCTCGCACTCTGTGCGCTTGTTGATCTCGTCTTCATACCTGAGAATGGAGAAGATGATAGTTTATGATCTGATTTGGGGTTTTAGATGCTTGCCTCGTGCTCTGCTCAGGATTTTAGAGCTGTTACGCTGAAGGAACATTAGATGGAGCTAGTCCTCCATGCTCTGCTCTTGAACACCTCTGGGAGTCACAAGGCGTTCTCCCACAGGAGGTCAGGGAGGTGTTTCACATTTCTCGTCTGTTGATTTGCTCCATTTGTCTTTGGATGATTAGCAAATGTGATCAGCGGTTTCTGTTTTCAGGATTCTCTTCAGCATATTCTAATACTGCGGTTGGTTTAACGGGTGTTTGTAACATGCCTCCTTAGTGTCGTCATCCCCTTAGGACTGTTTGACTCAATGCAATGGACAGATGAAGGGAGGAGTCCACGTTAGACATATTGAACTCACAGGTCTTGCCTAAACCACCCCAGACCGCACACGTTACCCCTCCTCATCACTCACTTGTTCTTGAAGTCCTCCACCAGGCCCTGCATGTTGTGCAGGTCGGCCTCCAGCTTGATCTTGTCGTTGCCCAGGCTGTCCAGCTGACGACGGAGGTTGGTGATGTAGGCCTCGAACATGGCGTCGATGTTGGAGCGGGTGGTGGTCTGGCCCTGCAGCAGGTTCCATTTGGTCTCCAGCATTTTATTCTGCTGCTCCAGGAAGCGGACCTGAAGTGGAGAGGTGAATTGAGTGAAAGTTATACTCTACAGCATCTGGAGCATAAACAAAGAATCCCTGACCGACATGATTGTTTATTCCTAGACGTGGATGGATGTGTCCTTGTCTCCGGTTGTGAAACATCACAAAAGCGCTGCATACCAAAGTTTTGAGGTTAATGCAGTATTAATGAATCATTAGGATCAGCCTCACGAGGCCTCCAAAACTCCTCATATGGTCTTTGTTCTTGAGTTTCTTTGGTGCTTTGTAAGGAGAGAGTCAGCTGTTTTTCCAGACGGGCCATCAGGAAGGCCTGCTCGGCGAACGTGCATCCTGACAGGAGGTAGGCGGCTGGAAAAAAGCAGCAATGGAGGAATGGAGCTGTTTAACCCTTCTCCTGCACGACTTCCGGTGTTTTTAGCAAAGACGTGGAGCAAGGGGAGTGGCAGAGTTTCTTCTGCTGCAGAAAGGTAAATATTTAACCGTGTGATGAAGCTTTGATGAGGGAAGCAGGGGAGAGTGGAAAAGTGAGGGGTGATTTATTTGTCCAGGAGGTGGAGAGTTTGCTAATTTATCACCAGTAAAATAGAGATAGTGAAAGCAGATAAGCAGCGGACGTTGCTCCCCACTGATGAGATCTAATCACCTCTTATTAAATCTTCATTTACGCTTGAGTAATGACGGCAGTAAGGCGACTCTGTGTGCGCGTGAGTCTCTTTGATCTGCTCAGAGTCGAAGCACGCCTCTTATCTTCGTTGGGGGGGGTGGAAGGTTGATCTGTTGCCAGTCAGCTGGCATTGACCAGAACATGAAACCAAGCGGCCTTTTTAAATATTAACCCACCCATGAGACCTCAGGGGATTGAAACTCGCCTGTGAGCACAATCGTAACACAGAAATTCAGCTTATTCAGAAGATTTAAGGGTCGTCTTGTCACGAACGCTCCTTATACAGCAAGCCCGCAAGAAACAAGCCATTGTGTCAAAGGTAACAATACGTTCTCATTAGTGTGTGTGTCCAAATTCTATTCAGTTCAAAAATACTTTATGCATAGACATATGACAAGACATGGTGTGTGTGTGTGTGCGTGCGTGTGTGTGTGTGTGGACAGCAGAAAAAGCCACACCCTGGCTAAGGGAGGGACCATTCCCAAGGTAACTCATATCACAAGCCCTGAGCTCTGCCCTGACACACCCTTGGGCCTTTTTTTCTCCTCTTCTCTTTCTCGTTCCTGCTTTCTTCTCCCTACATCTGTTTTTCATCACAGTCAAAAGCAAAGCCAGAAGACTGAGGGCCAAACCCTCTGCTGCCTGTGTTTGATTTGTGTGAGGCGAGAAGAGTAAAGAGAAAGGCATGAATCGATGTCTTTATGGCAGAATCTGCACTAACAGGCGAGTGCTGGACATATGTCTCTCCGTCCAACACGTCCCAGCTGTGAGACATCGTCTAAACTCTGTGACTGAACTTTCTAAAGAACTTTGAAAACTCTTACCTTGTCAATGAAGGAGGCAAAGCGGTTGTTGAGGCTCTTGATCTGCTCTTTCTCCTGGGTGCGGACCACTTGAATTGTGGGGTCAATCTCAAGGTTGAGGGGGGCCAGCAGGCTCTTGTTCACCGTCACGGCACTGATGGGGGTATGGACGGGCATGCTGCTGCCGAAGCTCATGCTTCCTGGACCACCCATGCTGGAACTCACGCTGTACGCAGAGCTCCTGGTTATGCCAGCTCCTCCAAAGCCCATGCCCATGCCTCCTGCTCCTCCAAAGCCGCTGCCAGCAGCACCTCCATAGGAGCTCTTGACTGTGAAGGACTTGCGGGAGGTGACTCCACCTGGTCCTGCATAGGAGCTGCTGCTGAAGCTCCTTGGGGCAGATGAACTCCTGAAACTGCTGCTTGAGGAGGTCCTGAAAGACATTCTGAGGATCTGATTTTTTTCTTTTGAATGAAACAAATTTGAAACGAGGAGACTGGTTAGGCAGGCAGACAGGCAGGCCAGCAGAGGAAAATACCAAAGAGGATAGACAGAGGAGAATATACAGGGGAGTTTTAAAGCCTGCCCCTGATGTGGGAGGGACCTGGCGGGAGCTGTGATTGGCTGCTGCTCTGGGCTAGAGGCAGGGATGGGGCTGTAACTGTACACCTCTGTGTCCAGTCAGTCACAACCATGTCCTCCTCTCTGAAGACAACACTTTGTCTATCGCAGGAATGTTGATAACCCTCTCCCTCTGTGTCATCCAAGGTAAATGGATGTCAGATTACGGGATGAGCTGATCAGCTGGTGTGTGTGGGCAGGCGGGATGCTTGACAGAAGCAGCTCACACACACTTTTCGCTGATTCTCAGGTGTGAGGCACATGTGCAACAACGTAGAGGTGATGTTTTCTTTTGGAACTTTGAGTAACGAATGTGGAATGTGATCCGTAACAATCACACTAAATCCCAACTGATTAGAATTCCGGTTGAGCCGGTCGTAGATGTTTTACACATTCAAATAGGATCCGGTTAGAAACTCACACCAACAATGGGTTTGATGATGCTTCTCGGCATTTCGAACGAGTAAAAGAAAAGATCTTCCTCCCGATGGTTCCAAAGACCACTTTCCCCTTCAAAATCGTATTTTTGTGTCACTGATTGTTTCTGGATTAAAGTAAAAAGTCTAAATAGACGCTGAGGCCAACAAGCTTGCAGAACTCATCTGTGGCTAATTATGCACTGAATTCATATAAATAAACATCATTTCAAGTTGACAATCTTGAACATTTTTGCTGCATCTTTGCACTGAAATGTATATTTTTACTTATTTAATGGGAAAATAAGAGTTTTTAACATTTCAGAAGGAGATTTTTTTTTAAAGGTAACAATCCTGCAGATTAGAAGCTGGTTGTGGAAAGCGTTTGCATGAACGTTGTCGGTTTGGGAAACGTTTCCTGCAGAAAACCTGCAGGCCATGCAATCCCCCCCCCCCCCCCCCCCCCCCCCCCCATCCCCAGCCTTGGTGCGAGTGAAACTTAAACCACATCTGCTGGTTTTCATGTAAGAACCAGGTCAGCAGCACTAACCAGTTAGCTTTTGCTACCATTGTTATGACAATACAGGCTCCAGAGAGACATAAATGTAGGTGAATTCGTCTCAATGATGCAAACTTTTTTCAATTCCTAACTGAGCCTCCTTCGTTCCTCATTTCTGAGCGGGTAAAAACAAAACGGCCTCTCATCTGTCAACCGTTGCTCCACCAATACCAGTCCTGCATTCCTCTCCACCCTCATTGACTTCCTCCTCTAGTCCCTCGTTACAATGAGTCATGAGTCTTGGCATTACCAAACCAACCCCCTCCACAATACCCTCTCCCCTCCATCGCCTTTAGCCATTTTTCTCCCACCAGTGCCTCCTGGCCTCATTATCGTCATGGAAACCTACAGAAATAAAAAAAAAACACTCCCATCATTTCTCCAGAGCCAAAATGGGTGCCAGTTTCAGAGCGGGGCTCTTTGTAACCAAGTTGCAAGGAGACGGAGTGCTGTAAAGAAAGGCATGTGGGGACATTGACATGGCGCCGACAATCCAAGCTGGAGCTCCTGGCACCAAAGGAAACGCGTTGCCAGTGGCTATTTCCTGTTTTGGTTTGTGAAATGGTGAGATCAGCTGAGTTTGGATCATATCTTCATGTGTTCTAACTGAGACGAAGATTTCAGCTGAATTTAAGCAATCTGTCAATAAATTAGGGAACCATGTTTCGGATCTCATGACTGTCACTTAGTAGTTGAGTTACTTTTTTATTAGGTTTGAAGTCAAATTATGAAAACTTCAGAGAAACAGGTGTTTATCATTGAGTTTGGTTTGCTTAGTGACCTTTAAACATATACGTGCTCCCTTTATGCAACACATTTATGAGTTTGTCACCAAATCGTTATGAGGACCTAAAACAGCCACGGGAAGATTCATGTTGAACATTTTCCTGGCTTCTTTGCACGAATCACTTGACCTCACTGATTTTTGAAACTGTTCAAAAAGTCCACAAAACAAATTGTCTCTCCAAGTGGTCCGAACGTCGTCACAGGGCATCTGGAACTGGTGAGAGAAATGTAATGCGCCTCGGTGACCACTCAAGCTATCGTATCGTGTGCTACTAAACTGTAAACATGATGGTCAACTGTAAACAAACTAAACTCACTTTGCAATGCAATAAATAAAACACTACTTTAAGAAATCTGGACAAATATGGTGCAAAAGTTGCAATTAGTTTTCATTTTGATGTGAAAATTTGCCATTTCCTCACAATTTGTGTCTCCAACTAGTTGCAGCCCGGTGAGATACCGATTCAAAAGAAAATGAAGACAGTAAGATGTCTTCCAAAGTCGGATCTACTGGAACTTCTGGGTAAATTCACCAGACCTTTGCAGCGTGCCTGTGCTAATCCACTACCGGAACTGGGGTGTGTACTGGGAAACGGCCCGATACGGTCGCTGAGTGGGATTCATGGGTAACTTGTTCTGATTGGCTGTAACTCGGTAAGTGATGACATCAGCAGACGTCACTAAACAACTGGCTTTTGTGAAGTTGGAAGAGTTTCTGGTGAAGTTTAAAAAAAAAAAGCTGCAACAGTAAATCTACAGAACACGTTAGCTTAAAACACTTTTTCATGCCTCTTAACAACGTTTTAACATAGTTTCGCTGTAAATGTATTGTTGAGATTAAAACAAATGAACGAATAAAGTGTTCTCTCTCTAAAAAGACAATAACACGGCTTGGAGCAAAAGCAACCATTGGACCATCCAGTTGTCGGTCTCACTGACCCACCAAACTTCCACTGCTGGTGTTTAGCGCTCTCTCGTTGATCTGTTTACATTTCTGTTTACAGTGGTGTGAAAAACTTTCTGCCCCTTCCTGATTTCTTATTCTTTTGCATGTTTGTCACACAAAATGTTTCTGATCATCAAACACGTTTAACCATTAGTCAAAGATAACACAAGTAAACACAAAATGCAGTTTTGAAATGATGGTTTTTATTATTTAGGGAGAGAACAAAATCCAAACCTACATTGCCCTGTGTGAAAAAGTGATTGCCCCCCTTGTTAAAAAATAACCCAACTGTGGTGTTTCACACCTGAGTTCAATTTCTGTAGCCACCCCCAAGGCTGATTACTGCCACACCTGTTTCAATCAAGAAATCACTTATATATGAGCTGCCTGACACAGAGAAGTAGACCAAAAGCACCTCAAAAGCTAGACATCATGCCAAGATCCAAAGAAATTCAAGAACAAATGAGAACAAAAATAATTGAGATCTATCAGTCTGGTAAAGGTTATAAAGCCATTTCTAAAGCTTTGGGACTCCAGCGAACTAGAGTGAGAGCCATTATCCACAAACGGCAACAACATGGAACAGTGGTGAACCTTCCCAGGAGTGGGCGTCCGACCAAAATTACCCCAAGAGCGCAGAGACAACTCATCCAAGAGGTCACAGAAGACCCCAGGACAACTTCTAAAGAACTGCAGGCCTCACTTGCCTCAATTAAGGTCAGTGTTCACGACTCCACCATAAGAAAGAGACTGGGCAAAAATGGCCTGCATGGCAAATTTCCAAGACGCCAACCACTGTTAAGCAAAAAGAACATTAGGGCTTGTCTCAATTTTGATAAGAAACATCTCAATGATCGCCAAGACTTTAGGGAAAATACCTTGTGGACTGATGAGACAAAAGTTAAACTTTTTGGAAGGCAAATGTCCCGTTACATCTGGCGTAGAAGTAACACAACATTTCAGACAAAGAACATCAAACCAACAGTAAAATATGGTGGTGGTAGTGTGATGGTCTGGGGTTGTTTTGCTGCTTCAGGAACTGGAAGGCTTGCTGTGATAAATGGAACCATGAATTCTACTGTCTACCAAAACATCCTGAAGGAGAATGTCCGGCCATCTTTTCGTCAACTAAAGCTGAAGCAATCTTGGGTGCTGCAGCAGGACAATGACCCAAAACACACCAGCAAATCCACCTCTGAATGGCTGAAGAACAACAAAATGAAGACTTTGGAGTGGCCTAGTCAAAGTCCTGACCTGAATCCTATTGAGACGCTATGGCATGACCTTAAAAAGGCGGTTCATGCTAGAAAACCCTCAAATAAAACAGAATTACAACAATTCTGCAAACATGAGCGGGCCAAAATTTCTCCAGAGCGCTCTAAAAACTCACAGCAAGTCATCGCAAACGCTTGATTGCAGTTACTGCTGCTAAGGGACGCCCAACCAGTTACTAGGTTCAGGGGGCAATTACTTTTTCACACAGGGCAATGCAGGTTTGGATTTTGTTCTCTCCCTAAATAATAAAAAACATCATTTCAAAACTGCATTTTGTGTTTACTTGTGTTATCTTTGACTAATGGTTAAACGTGTTTGATGATCAGAAACATTTTGTGTGACAAACATGCAAAAGAATAAGAAATCAGGAAGGAGGCAAATAGATTTTCACACCATTGTATTTATCGTCTGTTGAAGTGCAGGCAGCTCTGCCCAAGACAAGAAGAGACCGAACAAGCCAGTTAAAAAGCTCGCTCGGCTCTGGGCTGCCAACCAAATTCAGCTGAGATGTATGATAGGAGGATGCTGCAGAAGGTGACCTCCATCACGGGAAAAAAAACCTCCCACACACTGCATTCCACTGTGGGATCAATAAGGTCCATTCTATTCTATTTTATTCTATTCTATGTGCGTTCCCACATCAGGGAAGTATGGCCTAGGGATGATGGGAAGGGCGAGAGTTCTGTGAGTTCTTTGACCCTAAACTCAAATTGTAGGTTTGTTTTCGTTCTCTTAGCATTTGTAGTTTCTGCACAAGTCACCTTTTACAGGCTCTATAATGTTTTCAATGTCTAATTAAAAGAATAGTATTTGAAGCATTTCCTTCTTGTTTCCAAATAACTTGGCTGCGTGGATTTTGTGGCACATTCCTAAACGTTTCAGTGATTCCTGATTTCATCATCAGTCTGTTGTCTGTTTTCCTTTAGATGATAAAAACTCATCAGTTCAGCTGATCCTCATTACCTTTTAGTCTCGGGAGTCAAATAGACCTACTCGACCTGCTCTGTAATCACATCAAGTATCTCTGCCATTCAAACAGTAGTTTTGGTGAGATGCAATTGTAGTTTCATACAGCAGTACTTCCCATTCTTCTGGCATTCGTCTGTCATCACACCTCCAACTATCTGAAGCTGATACCCGATCTGTTGACGTTTCACAAGCAGGCGTGATAAATGAAATGGACTTTTACACTCTAGAATCAGATAAACCACTGCTGTCTGAGCTCTACGCTCCCACATGGTGTTTATGGGTGGGACTCTCCCGTCTCTGTGCACCAGTTTGTCGTCAAAAACACCAGACAGGGTGGAGGAATTCATTTTGTGTTGCTCAACTTTTTAAATTGGTGTTCCCATTTCTCCAAAACACGCCAAACTTTAGGAGGTTTCTCCAACTGTGAGCAGTCAGACCTAAAACCTTCATGCTTCTGCAGGTTGGTGATTTAGCTGTTTTAATCCAAACCGCACCTCAGCAGCTCTTCCCGACAGGATGCGGTACAATCACCCCGCACTCTCAGCAACCCTTTTTGTTCCAAGGTTCTGTTGTAAAACAATGAGGCGTCTCTATAGCATTAAGTGAAAAATGACCCACCCTGTCAGACTGCAAGCCTGCATCAGGTTTAGTGGCTTGTGTTGAATTTTCTTCATTAGATTATGTTGGAACGCTCTTCAGCATGATGCATTTGAAGGTTGTAAGATAAGAAGAGCAGCTTTATTGTGTACATACTCACCCTTCCTTTGTGTCGAGGATTTCAGGGACCTGTTGATTGATGTGTTGCCCTCTGATTAATTATCACATTCAGTTTGTACAAAATGTGTCAGAAAGACTCACTGGGATGAGATAAATGGATAAAAACAGTCAAATGGAGTCGCCAGCATGCTGTGAACTTCCGGTTTAATTACCCACAAGTTTTGATAGTGGAAACAGGCCTGATGGTGATGTCAGTTTAAAACCCTGCCACTGATGCGCGTAAGGAACCCTGGCGCTTTAGGAAGCTGCAGCAAGTGGGTAGAGTCTGTGGGTTAACTGGTAGATTATTATGGGATGGTTTGGTAGTCGTTCTTTGGACTGATCAATCAAATCAAATATACTTTATGAATCCCAGAGGGAAATTAGAGTTTCAGTACACACAATTCAGAGATCAGACATACATGGGCAAGACACATGACAAGAATTGGTGACTGTGGTCATTCGCAACTATGAGTCACACTACCTTAATAGAGATAAGAGGGTTTATATGAGGATTGGTTCAGGTGGAGGGAAAAAAGGCACTTCAGAGTTACCCTCCCACCGGGAGGGCAGCTTTGCTCTGCAAAAAAACACCTCAAACATATATGCACGAACATCAACAGTTCACAACATGAGACTCCAATAGGAAGGCAGGGGGGGCTGGGATCCTGTTTCCCCCAGTGAGAGCAGCCATCTAAGGCGCTCATCTACTGTACAGTCACAGGTGGGAGGGGGATCTTGGGAGAAGCGAAGAGCACATTGACTCCTCCAGCTGATGACCTCGCCAGACTGAAGTCCACCAATTCGAAGGCGTGGGGGGGGGGGGGGGGGGGGTCCAGGTTTTCACAGCATTTGTCTGCATTCCTTCGTGGGGGTTTTAGTTGCTTGCAGCTCAAGGCTACCAGGGCATCAGATTCAGATAACAAGACTTTGTTTGGGTCAGGCTGAGATCATTTTCCTCTCTGCCTTCAGTCTTTAAACTGATCATTTCCAGTCCATCAGTGAAGCCAATTTTGGGTTTTTAAACCTGTCCATGCCGTCCGGTGACTCTCTCTGAGATGACATCCAGTTTGTGCACTAATACCGGTATCTTAGCTAGAACATTGTCCAGCTTACGATTCACCTCGAGTAACGTCCCAGTCTGAGAAGTCTCCACATGGACGATGCTTTCCGTGGGTGCGGGTCGCCCTCCAATCGCTCCCGTCTTCCCAAATTTCCAGAAAACCAGATATCCTCCCACTCCAATCAGAAGAAATCCAGTGATCATCAGACCAAATATCCACACGTCTTCGATGTCCTCAATGGACAGCTGGCTGAGGCGTATGATCTTCCACTCCTTACAGGAATCCAATATATACCCCACCGGGTGCGTCCCCTGTGGACATGTGGGAGCCCTCTGCTCCGTTCTCATTGTTGAAAAAATCTTATTGATCGCATTGAATGACCAGTTTATCAAATCCATGGTTAATGAAAATAGAGTTTTTCAGAAGAAATGCAGAGAAGCTCTCTGTGGGCAGACAAGAGCCTTGGGAAAAAAGATAAGGGAGCGAAAGAGGGAAGTGTCTGTACTCCTCGAGTGCAGAAGAAGAAAAAAAAATTTTAAAAAAGTTTATCTAGCAGGAAACTTAATCAGGAAACTTAACTGAGAAAATGTCGGCCACTGTGCACACATCCCTTTATAGATCCTACAAACATCAACACACTAAGCCATACATCATACTTAAAATACCAGATTACAGTACTCTTACCCCGGGTTTCCACGGGAGCCGTCAGCAGCACGTCTTGCTTGCGTAAACTGCTGCTTGGCCCTTCCCACGAGACGCGAAGCAGCAGGGAGCAGCTGTCACCGACCGAGCACGAAGTCACACGAGTGACTTCGTCAGTAAACACAACAACAAGCAGGAGAAAACTACAACATGGTTTGTGTTTTATGTTCTGTCCGTATTATAATCGCCAATATGGACCTGAAAAACAAAGGAAACCGCTAGCTAGGTGATAACTTCTCACGGGGACGCACAGTTAGTAACCTTTTTTAAAAGTAAAGCAACCGGAAAGCAGTATGTTTCTTTATTCTGAAAATCTCGGTAGCTTCTCTCCATTTCCGCGTTCGATTTCCTGTCTTTCCTTCCCCAAAAATGTCGAACTTGGCCCGTTTCAGAGGCGTCGCGCGTAGAAAATAGAACCGGCGCGTAAAGGCCGCGACATGCTGCTCCTGAGACGCGGCCGACTCGCGCTGCTGACGGCTGCTGACGGCTGCTGACGGCTCCAGTGGAAAAGGTTCTGTTGACCACAGCGGTTCTTATCAGCAGCTGTGACGTGCTGCTGACAGCTCCCGTGGAAAGCCGGGGTGAAAGTAACTTTTAGAAAAACGTGATTACCTTCCAGAGAGCGTGAGAGAACTCCCAGTGGCATCTGCATTGGAGGAAGGAGTAAACGTGATGGAACAGGTGAAAAGCAGTTTTTTTTCTCTCTGCTTATGTAATGATAACAGACCGAGTTAGCTTAGTGAGCCCTGGATCCTTTAGCGAGGGAGTCACCATCAAACCAGCATGTCAGGGCTGACAGCTGATTCTAAACAGCTCTTTATTATCAACAGACCAGAAAAATGGGCTTCCACCGTGATGACAGATGCCTGAATCTGGGAACTTCAGCAAATGATGACTTTAAAGGCTCGAAAGTTCAAAGACAACAAGTTGAATGGAGATTTCCAAAGAAACGTTCTGGGTTCACTCAATTCTTGTTGTGCTCTCTAGAACGTAAAAAGCTTGAACTCTCTCTTTCTCATATAAGCTGCTTTTCTTTTGTTATTACTGAACCATTCATTTACAAAAATCCTAAATTACCCAAAGTGATCTGATCTCACAAACATTTGCCTTGTTCCATTTGCATATTGATTCTGCATTGGTAAATCGGGATCTAGACGACACATTCGCCCCCAGGCGGCCATGGCGAATGGCTAGCGTTGGGTACCGAATTCGGTACTTTTTAAGGTACCGACCGAATTCCACAGTACCGACTGAGCACCAATTCACGTCATTTGAAACGGTGCCTCGTTTCGGTACCCATCCTTCATAACGAGAACTTGCCTGGACAGCTGCGCATGCGCAAGAGCGTTATGTCGTCGGTCACTGCGAGCCAGTTGTAAACAGAGCAGCATGATAGAAACAACGCACGCTAAAGCTTGGGTTCACTTCACTAAATGTGATGGGTAACTGGGTGATGATGAAACCAGCGACAACGATCTAAGTGAGACATCCTCATCTTAATCTGCATCTGTTGGTAAATAAAATGTTTAAGATAACGTTAGCTTAATATGTTATCTTCCGTTCCACTAATGGTGCGTTCGCTTTCTCCTTGGAACTCCGAATTTCCGACTGGAAGAACATGAACGCGCTCTAAAGTTTGGCTTCACTTTACTAAATGTGACGGGTGATTGGGTGAAGATGAAACCAGCAACAACGATCTAAGTGTGAGGCATCATCGTTTAAATCTGCTCCAGCAGCTAAATAAACTGTGTGAGATAACTTTAGCTTGATATGTTAGCTTCCATTGCCACCGTTGTTATCAGCTAATGGTGCGTTCGCTTTCTCCTCGGAAATTCTAACTTCCCAGAAGGAAAAATCAAATGAAAAAGGACGGCAAAAGGAATGAAGATACACAGTAAATTTAGTTAACAGTAAAGATGTTTGCTTCAGTTTAATTATCAGCTTATAAAACTACAAGGACGATGTTAAAATACAAACAGCTGTACGTTATTTATCGTGATATTTATCAAATATGGTTATATATTGAGAAAAAATATATATTTATTTAAAAAAGAGAATTAAAATATTAAACACTCAAAATAATCTAAAATTGGTACCGTTAAGTACCGGTATCGATTCCTAGGTACCAGGACTTAGTACCGAATCGATTCAAATGTCAAAGGTACCCATCCCTATGAATGGCTGCTCACACTGATCCAGCCTCTGATGGAGGTTTCTTCCTGCTAAGGGGAGTTTTCCTCTCCACTGTTGCTGCATGCTTGCTTAGGATGGAGATTGCTGTGAAGACTCTGACAAAACAAGTCAGTGGCTCGATGCATTCTGCTGGGTTTTCTGACACAGGAAACGTTTAACTTCTTCAAATAATGAAACGTCACAAACAGATCAATTATCCACAACAAGGTCAGCTCAGGTATAATTTGGTGTTTTTACTTAGCTGTTGTGATTGTTGAGCTGTGTGCTACCCGCAAGAAGTGTGAAATGTGTGCACACTGTTGTGTCATTCCCGTTGCAACAGCTGCACTCAATTTGCAACACATATCCAGAAATTCAAGTTGGATAAGATGCAAAAGTAGGCCGTGGTGTGTGCATGTGCCTAACACAAATAAATGCAGAGAGGATAACTTATCCTGCAGAATCCGGCTCTGAGCGGTGACGGTTTGGAGTAGATCCAGACTTCGGTGAAAATTCTGTAACCAGTCAAACGAGTGCAGCACAGCTGAGATCATCTGGTTTGAGGCAACGACTCGATTCCCAACAAAGTTCCATGAACAAAAAATATGCAACCATGACAGCACTGATGGATTATGGGATGCATTTATAAAAAGGTCTGCAGGTGTGACCAGGTTAGCTGCGAATCCTCCACAGCAAACTCCTGCCTTTTACTTTGTGCATGCCTGTCATTCCTTCTCAATCAACGGTTTGTACACTCTGGGTTCTGCTGATAACTCCCATATGGCAGCTTTGTGGTTGCCCTGGCAACAGCCATCCAGGTAATCTGTTGCACCTGTGAGAGTATGCTGACTCAGAAATGTTCTCTGCTCCACAGTTTCAAGAAGCAACGTGGAGGAGAATTATTTTTTCCAAACAAACTTCTCCCAGTTCTGTTTTCCAGCGGTGATTAGCCTCGGCAGGTTTGTCAAGTTCGGCACTTTTCCACACGCACAAATCATTTGCATGAGGTTCTACTGAGATGAATGCACGGTTATTCAAAGGGAAGTTGATGAATTTGCGTTTGTTCACTCTAACTCAAACCCAATTTGATCATCTGATCCATAAATCAGACATGATAGACCCCCGGCTGATTCCTACAGTTTTATTTACGTTTTTTGTGGTTCTTTGGAATATGTTTGAGACATTTTTGTCTTTTACTCTTTATTTGTTGTCTGTGAAATGTTTCATTTGGGAAGCATCAGCTGGGGCATTTAAATGTATTTTGGCAAATATCATGCAGCCGTGTGTCTGTTTTCTTTTAAACCATCATCTTGTGCTCCTTTATAATTTCTCTCATGCTGCTCTTTTTTGGTTGACTCCACATTTTGAGTGCTTTGACACTTTTGGTGTAAATTTTCTGCATCTTTTTGCAGTTACGACTTGTGATTTTCTTCACAGCTCTTGTGCAGCAAATGGAATGACTAAAATAGAGCACAGATAGAAAAACTGAGTCAGGACCTCTGATATGTTTCATGGAAAAACCTGGTCCCGCTCAGCTTCGTGGGCTCTGGGCCCGGTGTGTGCCCCAAAAGTTGGTTCTCTGCTTGATTTTCTGTCTCCGGATCTTTTATTCTGAACTTTTTTTCCGTTTGATTAAACAAAGACTTTACTTGTCTGTGTCTGAAAATACGTTTTACTCTTATTTAGATCACATATGCATTTCATCGACCGGGTTCTCTGTTTCTACCAACACAGACTGCATGTTCCTTGTGTGTGTGTGTGTGTGTGTGTGTGTGTGTGTGTGTGTGTGTGTGTGTGTGTGTGTGTGTGTGTGTGTGTGTGTGTGTCCTTGGATGATCTCCCTGTTACGGTCTTTCTGCCGCTCTCCCCGCCCCTGGCCACACCCACCGTTGCCATGACAGTGGGGTTTACCACACATTGGTAATGACTTACCCAGATGTATATGAGGCTGCAATGGAGACGGCGTACCATTACCATGGATACACAGCTACACCTAAACCATACAGTGCATAATTACATATTGTGCTGCGTGGAAACTGTGCAGTGTGTGTGTGTGTGTGTGTGTGTGTGTGTGTGTGTGTGTGTGTCTCACCGTACATTTGGAGTTGCCTTTCTTCCTGCCTGGAGAGACAGAGTCGGCTACACACGTGTAGCAGCTTAATTCACTCCCACTCCCAGCCTGAGCTGTACTAAGTCCTTCAAACAGCTGTTAAACAATAACAGATAGACACATTTTCTCCAGGCGTCAAGCAGGAAAAGAAAACCCTTGAATACACTTGGGACTTTTGCACAAAATAGTTTTAGTTTAGGAGCAGAAAACTGAGTTGAGTCTGTTTCTAATTAAGTGCTGCTTCCAGAGCTCTCTCTAGTTTTGACTGTGTGTGGTTTCTGTTACTCATCTGAATGAAATGGATGTGCAGGTTGAACAAGAGGATTTTCAGATTAGAACCAGAATGAAGACCAGTTCATCTTTTGTGACTCGGTTCTTTAAAATGGTTCTGAAGCTGTCCTTGTTTTGACCCTTCATGTCAACAAAGTGCATGTGTGGATGTCTTGCTCCACTGGCTGTCTGGGCATGTGCATACTCTGTAATGCTGTAGATGTAAAACCATAACATCTCACAACTTTCATCCTGTGTTATATATGGTGCACGGCTTTTATCTGCAAAATAATACCATAAAATACACTTTTAATCCTTACGTGGAGTCACAGTCTCACCTTTTAAGTTTGATTTCAAGATGAGGCATGCAAATCTGATAAAATAATCCTTTTTAAATAGAAGACATAATCAAACCCCAGGGTGCTGCAACAGAAAAAGACTTTTACTTCTAAGTTTTCTCCTAATCGCTTTTAATGGACACTTAATTTGTTAAATAAATCCAGGAGATTCTGCTTCATTGTGCATGGGATATACTTGTGGGTGTAGTGAACCTAAATTAGGCTCTGCCATTATGTAGCGTTATGGTTTATGCTCTTTTATGAACGAGGAACCATTCTACATATTAATTTGTGATATTAATTTTATTAAATTAATAACAAATTGTATAGTTTTAAGAATACTCAAAGGTTGTTTTCATCGATAAACTGACGATAATATCCGTGTGTCTGTGTTTCAGTTCAATGAAGAAACAAGTTTGAAAGTTAAAAGTTTTAATTCTTCAAACTAAACTAATGATTTTTGAAATGACAAACATGGAAATGACAATCAACATTGGCAACTTTGAGGGACAATCTTTAACAGTTGATATGCTTGTTCAAATAGACCTTGTGGTGAATGTGTGAAGATTGAACATGAGGTGAGCTGAGTGCGTGTGTGTGCGTTAGATTTTGCTTCAGGAAGAAACAGGTGTCTGAGTGAACGTGATGTTTTTGATGAACTTAGGTCTTATTGGAAAAGACGCATCAAAACGTTATCTGCCGTGGACTGCCTCACCTAAAGTCGGACCCTCTTTTAGATCCGGGACGCCAGAGGATGGTGATGTTTCATCCAGGTGACACCAGCGGCTGGCAGAGGAGACGGAGATATCCGTGACCCGGTCCAGAGATGCCCGCGGTACACGTTGATGGAAAAACGTTTGCAGATGTGTTTCCTTAAGTTTAATTTACTCAGAAATCAAAGGGACTCGAGGCGAGTCCGCGTTAGTTGTTGCAATTCAGCTGTCCTGTCTGGCTGACAGGAATAACGGGGGGGGGGGGGGGAATGAGCCGATAGGCTCCGTCCCCCCTTTAGCGTTTATTCAGGTCTTCTCTCTTTCGTTGTTGAGCGCGAACTGAATCATGAACTGAAAACTTACCAAAAGCCTTTTTCTTCTCAAAGCAAAATGTGTGCGTCAGCAAATGTGTTTTGGAGTTTACTGTGAGAGCAGATGTGTGTGTGAAGGTGTTTGAGTGTGTGAAGGTCATTACCAAACATCCCTCAAACCATTATTTAATTAAGCAGTGATTCATTAATCCATTATGATTACCC